TTTTAACTGTGGGAGAAAGACAGAGTACCTGGAGAGAACCCACACATGCACAAGGAGGACATGCTTACTGTATCAGTCTCCTTATGTATTCCTAGAGAATTGGTCTGCAACTTGTTGCTTTAAAGCTGCATGTGGCTCTTTAGGTCCTCCTCAGTGTGGTTCTTAGAATGATTGGCCAAAAATAGCATAGAACTCACCAGTCATTTCTAATATAAAAGTAAGAAAAAGTAACATTTTCACAGTTTTGGTGTTTTCATGCAATATCTGTTTTGAGTTTAAACCACCAAATAACACCAATTTTTTTTGTTAATGTTTTGCCATTAGGCTGCAAGCTAATTGCTTTTTTCTCTTTTCATTTTATATAAATATTGAGCATTACATTTGATCAAATATTACTGACTTTCTAAAGTCTAAAAGTAAAATTTTTGAGGTTCATGTAGATTTTATGGCCCTGCACAAAGTAGACAAAGTATTTAGTACAAGCAAGGGAAAAATGGATTCTTGGCTTCTAAATGTTGCTCACACATGCCCTAGACAATAGAAATCCTTACTTTCACTCTTATATTTCCAAAAGGCTGGCAGCATTTCCAAATCCTGCATATTCCATGACAAGCTACAAGCCCCAAAGAAGTAAAACGAGAGCGATCAGGCTGCAGGCACCGCTCTCAGGCACTCATTACATGAGGGCTTTTCCAGTTTGTAAATTCCCCTAGCCTTAACCACAAACTACATTGATAAGTTTTCTACAGTAGTATTGTGATTGCGTTCTGTTCAGCCCACTCCATCAGTGGCATGTCTTTTATGAAAGCAACTTATATTTTTTCCCTGGAGGAGTCTCTGCAGGGCAACTTTCTTTATTCCAACATGCAGTTAACTGTGTTTGAGAAAGCTGCTATAAAGTTCTAATAACATTTTATATAAAACACCAGTGGCTTTATCGTTTGTTTCTAAAGGAAACTAAATCTGACGCGGCATATGCAGCTATAAATTCATTAATAGACACACACTTCTCTTCTGCTGAGGGCACTTGCATGTGGAGTTTACTAAGGTGGCAGGCTAACGTTGGGTTGCCTGTAGACTGTTGGAGATAGGCACCAGTTCCCCCGTGACCCACTATGGAATAAGCGGTATAGAAGATGAATGAATGAAAATTTCCATTGCTCTCTTTACAGTTGAGGTTTCATGAAAGGAAAACCTGAGTATGGTACTTAACAGATCATGTCCAAGGCAAGAAGCTGCAGCAACCAGTACGGTCACTCTATGTGTGCTCTTTCTTCCTGCATATCAGGGTGGAAAGCACTTAGGGAAACCCTATATTTGGTTGATCGCTCCCATATTCACTCTGTGTTTTTGGCATTGCAGAAATTAATCGAGACTCAGACCTTAAGATGTGGAAATGCCATTTTGCAACAAATTGAAAAACTTTACAATTGGTTGCAAGGCCTTGTGTTTCAGTAACCTGTGCCTCAGTGTGAGTGTGAAAAACATTAAGGTTGTTCTCGACACGCTTTACAGTAAGAACATGTTATGTATAAGTTTTACATTGTAGCGTTACGCACTTTTTCCAGGACATGTCTGTACAGATTGTTGTTGTTACTGTTGAAGATTTCCTTGATCGAAACTTTGTATATCCTCATATAAACACACTTAAACAAAACTAGCCACTGCTTGCTCCTATTGAGAGTCGCTCACACTCTAATCCTCCAAGCAGTTCGTCAGATTAGAGGCATTGAGTTACAGACACTCACACTGTGCGAGGTGATGAGTGAAGAAGTGTACCCACAGCCTGCCAAATCCAAGCAGACAGATCTCCCCATCTGTCAAAGCGATGCATCAGCACAGCATAGAAACCCCGACACACCTACTTGTGTCTTTTGGCAAACACCGTCCCATGAGGGGATTTGGTTGAAGCTAAAAACAAAATACTTACAGGAATCAATGTACACTTAGCAAGCACAGTGGGTCATTCCTCTTGATTAATGAAAAGAGAGATTACAGGCAGCATATTTTGATTTGTTCTCTCTTCAAACACTGATGTAGTACAAAGGTGGACGGATATGCTGATTAATGCTTGGATCTTTCACAAAAAGCCAAACTAGTGAAAGGAGTACTTACTAGGCTCATTTTGCTTTGTATGTTTAAACCCTCCTTGACATTTTTTTTTTTACTATCATTCAGGTTTAATTATGTCGGAAAATCAGGGTACGTGAGCCAAGAGAACCAAATGTACAACGAAGGTTCCGATTCAATGTTCTTTTGGTCTACAAATGTTAGTCGGCTTTTAAGACTCAAGAGAAAAGGTGAAGAAAGAGAGGCGTGAGAGATGGAGCAGAGAGAAACTGCAAACATACAAGATTGAGTGTCTGTTTTCATAATATAGCTCTTGTAGCTTTGTTTCCTTTTTAGGGAGTATTTGTTTAAACTACACGGTCATATTTGAAAATCTAAATGAAAAACCTTTGATGTGTCGTAAGAAAATTGAAGTCAGTGTCAAGACTTTCCTCTGCTTTAATACAAATATCGTTAGCTAATTGATGGTGTTAGACAAAATATATCTATTTGTAAGAGCAGGTAGTTGCTAAGGTGACATTAGCAAACCATTTATTTGAAAGGAGGAATAAATTGATGTTCACATTTTTATCACGTTACAACCACAAACTTTAAGGTAATCTTTTTTGTGATAAACCAACATCAAATAGTGAACAGGTCTTTTGGGGGTATGCTCTACTAGCTTTACAGAGGTACTGACTGAAATCTTTGCCAATTATCTTTTTCAAAATAAATCAAGCTTGGTCAAATTGGATGGAGAGCACCTGTGAACATCAATTTTCAACTCTTGCAAAAAATTCTCAACTAGATTTAGGTCTAGGTCTTTCTGACATATGAATGTGCATTGATCTCAACACTTTCATTCTGGTTCTAGCTGGAAGTTTAGGGGTTTTATCCTACTGGAAAATTAACTTCCGCCTTTTTTTTCATGTATTTTGCCACATCTAAGAGGTTTTCTTCCAGGAATGCTCTGAATTTATCTCCATCCATCTTCATATCAACTATGGCCAGCTTACCTGTCCCTGCTGAAGAAAAGCATACATTTTTGAAGTAGGGCATGAGATGTTTAGGGAGTTTTCCTGTTTGCAGATTTTCTGACCTGTGCCATGTTTCTCTGCAGCTCCTCCAGTTACCATAGGCCTCTTAGCTACTTGTCAAATAATGCTCTCCTTGCCTGGCCTGTCAGTTTAGGTGGATGACCATATCAATTTTTGTTTCCATTTTCAGATCATGGATTAAACAGGGCTCTGTGAGACGATCAAAGCTTGAGATATTGTTTTTAAACCTAACTCTGTTTTAAACTTCTCCACAACTTCATCGCTGACCTGTCTGCTGTGTTCTTTGCTCTCTAATAATCCTCCAAGGCCTTCACAGAAAAACTGGAATTATTCTGAGATTAAGTTACACACAGGTAGATTCAGTTTACTATTTAAGGGACTTCTGAATTCAATTGGTTTCACTACCTTTTATTTAGGGGTAAAATAGTAAGGGAGATAAATATATTTGCAAGCCATGCTTTTCAGATTTGATATTCATCACCCAGTTTCTTTCCACTTCACAGTTATGCATAACTTTGTGTTGGTCTGTTATTGGTTTGTGGTTGAAAGTTCAAAGGCTATTAATAGTTTTGCTAGGCACTGTAAATCCCAAACTGTAGACCAAAAACAGTTCATAATTCACTTTACTGTAGCAACCTGCAAGCAAAGAGCCTGCTGGTTCCAACTGGCTGCCTTAATTCATTTGATTTTAGACTGATATTAGCTTCAAGCTCTTTTAAGAGAAAAAAATATATCTCATGAGTCCAAATATTGAAAGTAAGTGATAACATTGAGTTTTTGTGTAATAATTCTTTTTCCTGGCTTAGAAGACAGAGATGAAAACCTAATTGGGTTGCATCATTTTTTTTACTGTTTAAAAAACTTTTTTGTGGTAGGTCAAGATTGTGTACGTAGTTCTGGGTTGAAGTCACCTACCACTTGAATAAGTATGTGTCTGTGTGGGATTTTGTAAGCATCGGTGTGTGGTCCTGACCTGTCCACTGATCCTGGCTGTGGAAAGGCCAAAGTGTCTCTCCCTCTCCAGCTGACTCCACTCTGCTGTCGCCTCACAGTGTGTGGCTGTGTGTGTTTGCGAATGTGTGTGTGGCCTGTGTGTAAGCACGCTATTGTCCATTGATGTGCGCATGCTTTTGTGCTCTGTCGCTGAACATGTGTGCAAACTTGTCAGTGTGTGATAGAAACAGAGCAGAGTTGAAAGATATGAGTCTGTAGACCATCTGCGGACACCTTCAGCTTTAGTCAGGCCGCTTCCTGTCGCCAGGTCCGGATAGAGGTTATGACTGAAGTTAATCTTGGTTAACTTGATGACCCTTAATCCTGCTGATACTGCTCTTAGATTCACATAAAAATTGCTCTAAACCCATTTTTCCTCCAACTGAAATCACCATTACCTGGCCATTTAGAGGTCTGGCTCATGCTTGGCTTGAATCGGTGTTTCACAATATTGTAAAGAGAAAAATCATAATACAGAATCTGAAATGCAGCAAAAGTAATTTAAAGGAATGTTAATACTTTCTAATAAGGGCCATGAAGATACACATTTAAGAAGAAACAGAGGATTAGTCATGAACCGTAATTATTAATTAATTAACTAATCATGAGTTATCTATTAGCTAACCATTAACTAATAATAAAATAATCATAAACCAACCTGGCTAACCAATGAGTATTAAAAAACATCATCATTATAAAAAGGTTTGTTTTAGATTAACTCTCACTGTGTTTTGCTCACCAAGTGTTCACTAATAAGGAGGCTCAAGTCAAGAATGTTCAGTTTTTATAGGCAACCATAAACCAGTAACACAGCATTTCCTTATGATGAGGACCTGGAGAAACATTGATTCATTAACAGTTAATCACCAAATAGTTTAGGAGTAGTTCATCACTGTTGGGGTGACTGTGGCTCAATGGGAAGACTAGTTGGCTTATAATGCAATTGTTGTGGGTTCAATTCCAGCTCCTTCCTGCCACAGGTCGATGTGCCCCTGGGCAAGGCACTTAACCCCAAGTTACCTACTGATTTGCATATTCTTGTGTTAATGTTAGCATCTTAGTCCGATTGAGTGAATGTGGCCCTACTATAAAATGTTTTGAGTGTTCAGTATGATTACAAAAGTGTATATAAATTCAGTCCATTTATCATCAGTCAGCATTTAGTTTCAGCTAGTTCAGAATTCATAGTTCATTGTTCATGATTACTTAATTTTAACTAGCAGTTAGTTCATGATTAGCTCATCATAAGTTAATGTTAACTCTTAGTTTGTTCATGAGTAGTTCATGATTAGTTCATGTTAACTAGCAGTTTGTGATTAGTCAATTAATAGTTCATGTTAATTAGTAGTTAGTTCATGATTAGTTAATGTTAACTAATAGCTGCACTGGGCAAACAAAAACTAAAAGGTTATAAATTGTATCATTTGGTGATGGACTTTTGAGGTCTATAACATACTGATTAATTATGGATGCAGTCAGCAACAAAATAAAAAAAATCCAAATTTTGTGGGGTTTTGTTTTTTCCTTTTCTTTTTCTAGATGTACTTCTGTTCACTATGCCCCCTTACTCTAAGTTTCCTGCAGCAAACGGAGCAACCATGTCTCTGTCATTAAGGCTTCTGGTGCTAATGGTGGGATTAGTTCACATGCTGACAGCCTTCATCGTTGGACTGACAAATGGATAACACAGATGCACGAATGCAGGCATGCCCACATGCATGCTTCCTGCTGATGGTGGAAGATTAGAACGTTGATACGAATTCACAAGCTACGTATTTATTTCGATTTTAAAACATTTGTTGCTTTGAACACCTTGTTTCAGCTATTGTCTGTGGCGGCTGAGAATGGCAGGAATATTGGCAATAGTTAAATATGATGGAAAGAAAGCAAAGTATTGAAGGGGAAAATGTCATCATTGTGAGGTTTGTTTAAAAAAACAGTTAAAAATCTCAAATGGTGAATAAACCATAAATAAAGAATTTTGCAGCCTAGCATAATTAAACATTCTTATAGTGTAAAATGAGATCATTTTTCCTGGAAAACATTTGGTTTTAAAATTTAGCTTAAAAAAAATTAAACCAACAAAGGACAATTCATTCATTAGTCACCCTTGTTGAAATCGCTTTGATATGAAGCTAAAAAGAATCTACAAGTAGCAGCTTATTTCTCTTATTCAGCTATTCGTCTGTTTCACAATTATGCTCAGTGCTGAACATTACACAGTCCTTATGTCCCAAGCAAGACATGTTTATCTAAACGACTGTCGCCATATACATAAATGTGTAGTCTACACACATGCTTAGATGACTCAACCAGCAAAACTGTCTTTGTAATGACATCAGAACCGTATTTATTTCATTTCTATTTATTCTTTTCTGTCAGTTTGTAGGGGTTTGTGTTTGGAATATGAAAAAAATATTAAATTATTTTTAAAATGTAAGATCTTGATTCCCCTACATAAAATAATAGCTTTTGAATAAAAATGATTCCTATAATTGAGTTGAGCAGAAGAACATATCTGAACAGATTTTAATAAATTTTTACAATATAGTTTGTGTGAAGCATAACCGTCATTTAATAACTGCACTGACATCATTAAACACGTAAACTGATGTAAACTTTATCCCAAGTTGTTACACGCCACTCAAAAAAATTATCGTACTTGTCGTCTTCCGCTTATCCGGGACCGGGTCACGGGGGCAGCAGACTCAGCTCACCCAGACGTCCCTCTCCCCAGACACCTCCTCCAGCTCCTCTGGGGGCAGCCCAAGGCGTTCCCAGGCCAGCCAAGAGACATAGTCCCTCCAGCGTGTCCTGGGCCGTCCCCTGGGCCTCCTCCCGGTGGGACGTGCCTGGAACACCTCCCGAGGAAGGCGTCCAGGAGGCATCC